AGAGTTGAAGCCTAAAGTCCTAGTAAACTTCAATTCCTAGTAACAGAGTGTTGTTGACGAAGACTGCAGATATGATAAAATGGTTCTTGGAGGAAGATGGTACAGTAGCTATATTCGATGCTACAAATTCCACACGAGAAAGACGTAGTATGATAATTAACTATTGCAAGAAATATGATGTTCAAGTTATGTTTATTGAATCTATTTGCCGAGACGAGAGTTTAATTATGCAGAATATTATGGATGTAAAATTATCATCACCAGATTATAAAGATATGGATCCAGAACAAGCAGCACAGGATTTTCGAGCTAGAATATCACATTACGAAGAAATCTATGAAACGGTAGATGAAACGTCAAGTAGTGAAAGTGATTACACATTTATCAAACTTATAAATGTTGGAAGTCAATTTATGATTAATATGATTCAAGGATATTTGCAAAGTCGAATAGTATATTATTTGATGAACTTGCATATTTTGCCCAGAAGTATTTTCTTTTGTAGGGTAAGTTGATATATCTTGAATGTAAATATTTTATAATTAGTTTACACAAAGGAAACAGAAATCTAATCAATATTAAATAATGATATTAGCACGGTGAAAGCGTATATAATTTAGAGGGAAAAATTGGAGGCGATTCAAAATTATCGCCACGAGGTAGAAAATATGCATTAGCACTTCCTGAACTTATTAAAGCAAATTTAGGAGATCAGCCCTTGACAGTATGTAAAGTTAATGTTTTAAAAAACCGTAACAATTAATTAACCTTTCACAATGAAATTCATCCAAGGTATGGACGTCAACATTACAACGTACAATAGAAACGGCCAAACACTTACAGTATCCAAAATTACACTGGAAGGCATTAGAAGAACTGGACGCGGGTGTTTGTGATGGAATGACATATGAAGAGATTGAGGTTTGTATTATATTTGCAGAAATGATGTACTTGCTAGCCCTATGCTAGGATATAATTATTAATGTCGTAGTGTAGGATACTATTGCATTAGTATATGCAGTGTTGTCAATTTTTGTATCCAGTGGCCTTTCCCTCTTTCCCTCTTTACCTTGGAATTTTTCATAGTAAAGTTCCAGTGATACTAGTAATACTGTTAATTTTGACATCCAATGATTTACGGTAATTTATAGTAACTTCTGGCGCCTTCCATTGACAACGCTGAATATATGAGAATATATGAGAATATATGAGCTAAACCAATTGCTATAAACCAATTGCTAAATAAATCGTGTTAATTCAATGTCTCTTAGGAAAAATACCCAGAAGATTATAATAATCGAGATGAAGACAAATTCAATTATCGGTATCGTGGCGGCGAGGTAATTATAATTTTAGTCTAACGGATAAGAAATGAATGAAAACATTTATCTGAAAGCTTCATGTACTTTAAAATTACAGTCTTATCGTGATGTAGTCTATCGTTTAGAACCAGTGATAATGGAACTTGAGAGGCAGCAAAATATCTTGATAATTGGTCATCAGGCTGTTTTACGTTGTATTTACGCATATTTTCATAACCTGTCTCAAGATGATTTACCTTATATTAAGATTCCACTACATACGGTTATCAAGTTAACACCTAAAGCATATGCTTGTCATGAAGACAGATATAAAATTGATATTGACGCGGTAGATACACACAGACCAAAACCGAAAAAGCCCTCCAATTGAATGTTGATTAAGAATTTTTAGAAGTCAAACAATATGAATGAATTTTGTAATCGTTGTGGGTAGTAGGAAGAAAATGATGTAAAGAAAATGGCAGGAAGAAGGTGGCAAAAGAGTGGAAACAACGTAAACTATTATCTTGGTGAATGAATGGTGCCATATTTGGCAACGACCATTATATAAATGGATTTATGATTTACAATTGCAGTTTTTTTTTTTTTTAAAAAAAAAAAAGATATTTATATTGTATGTACAAATATATATAGAATAAACAAAACGACCTAAATATATTTTGTATTATCAACATTTAGTACTATTGTCCTTTTTTTCGATTTGTTTCTTGCCTTTTAATACAATATGAACCCTTTGTTCGAGCTCTAAAAAGAACAATGTAAAACTGATTAGTTTTTCTCCGACGCCAAAATTTCGTTGTTTTTTTTTGAATGCAAGGCGGGGAAATACAGATACAGGAAAAAGAATTGATTCTTGTAAAGGCATATCACGAGCAAGTGGAGACTTGCATGTGAGAGCATAATAAAATTCTTTGTATTGAAGGCGGAAGCGGGGAGAAAAGGTAATAGCTTTGAACTTTAGATCATATTAAAAAAGAGAGCTAATGCAATAAAAGTTTGACGTTTGCTAGTATTTTTGCATGGAATGCAGCAACGATTATAACCCCTTGCAGAAAACCAAAGCATGAATAAAAAAAAAAAAACCTGATCAGTGTAACTTTGATTTTAATGTACGTATGTGTCAGGATCTTTGGGAACGAGAAGTTGGAAACTTAAAAATATATAAAGTTTTTTAAAACTAGTTTTTTATATTATAATATAAATATTATTGTAAAATTTTAAGTTAATAAGATACACAGTATACAATATAAAAAGTTAATGCAAATAAAATAAATAGTTAACTTTATATCAACCAAACAGTAGTACACAGTTTATAGACTTTTTTAATAGAAGATTGTAAAAAAGAAAGTATGTAGATTTAGAATCGTCGCATTATTATTACACATACAGTAAGTAAACAGTGTGTGTATATTAATGATCCCGCCAGGTAACCTTACAAAAAATCAATGTTACTCGTCTAACATCAACTCTAAAATTTTTTTTTCCCTTGCATTTTAGATTTTTTTTTTTTTTGGATTTTCCTTATTTGAGAAATTCGTGGTGTGTTTTTAGATTTTATTACTTCACTCCCTTTCCCCATCTTCGGTCTTTTGTTATCCCACCGCTTTCTTTTTTTTTTTTTCTTTTTTTTTCTTCATATATATATTATTATCTATATATTATTATATATTATTATCTATCTATATACTTATATGTTATTAAATTTTTTTTTTTCTTAAAGTCGTGCCGAGTTCATGACTTTTCGTATATTTCGTTAAGGTGTTCGTTTTTACATTAGAAAAAGAACACTTTTCCGCGTTATTATAGACTTATAAAGGGAGTGTGTAAATAAATTATATAAATATATTCAAAAAAATAAAAAAAAAAACATAAAATTCTGGCAAAGTAAAAAAATAAAAAAAAATAAAAAAAATTTTTTTTTCTTTTATACCTTTTTATATATTTTTTCTGTACTTCTTTTTTTCTTTTTTCTTTTTTTCGATTTTTTTTTCTAATACGGTTTCAAGCACATTTTGACAATGGCCACACCACCTTTTCCTTTATTACCTTCTTCGCACCCAATATCCGTTCACACAGCTCCACCAACACCAACCGTCGTACCTCCTCCTCCACTATGTTGAGGTGATACGAACATATTACCAGAATTTTGAATTTCATTAACTGACGTGTTAAATTCATTGACCAACTGAGTTGACGTGTTTATCGGAGGAAGAATATTATGACAGCAGACCGGAGACTGATTTTCGAAACCTTTAGAAAAGAACCTTTGATCGTTTCCGGTCGGTGAAGTAGAATAAAATTGAAAATAAAAATTCGACGGTGAATTATCGCTTATTTGGTGAGCTCTTGGGTCACTAGAATAGACACTATAACGAGGTGGAGGAGGAGGTACGACGGTTGGTGTTGGTGGAGCTGTGTGAACGGATATTGGGTGCGAAGAAGGTAATAAAGGAAAAGGTGGTGTGGCCATTGTCAAAATGTGCTTGAAACCGTATTAGAAAAAAAAATCGAAAAAAAGAAAAAAGAAAAAAAGAAGTACAGAAAAAATATATAAAAAGGTATAAAAGAAAAAAAAATTTTTTTTATTTTTTTTTATTTTTTTACTTTGCCAGAATTTTATGTTTTTTTTTTTATTTTTTTGAATATATTTATATAATTTATTTACACACTCCCTTTATAAGTCTATAATAACGCGGAAAAGTGTTCTTTTTCTAATGTAAAAACGAACACCTTAACGAAATATACGAAAAGTCATGAACTCGGCACGACTTTAAGAAAAAAAAAAATTTAATAACATATAAGTATATAGATAGATAATAATATATAATAATATATAGATAATAATATATATATGAAGAAAAAAAAAGAAAAAAAAAAAAAGAAAGCGGTGGGATAACAAAAGACCGAAGATGGGGAAAGGGAGTGAAGTAATAAAATCTAAAAACACACCACGAATTTCTCAAATAAGGAAAATCCAAAAAAAAAAAAAATCTAAAATGCAAGGGAAAAAAAAATTTTAGAGTTGATGTTAGACGAGTAACATTGATTTTTTGTAAGGTTACCTGGCGGGATCATTAATATACACACACTGTTTACTTACTGTATGTGTAATAATAATGCGACGATTCTAAATCTACATACTTTCTTTTTTACAATCTTCTATTAAAAAAGTCTATAAACTGTGTACTACTGTTTGGTTGATATAAAGTTAACTATTTATTTTATTTGCATTAACTTTTTATATTGTATACTGTGTATCTTATTAACTTAAAATTTTACAATAATATTTATATTATAATATAAAAAACTAGTTTTAAAAAACTTTATATATTTTTAAGTTTCCAACTTCTCGTTCCCAAAGATCCTGACACATACGTACATTAAAATCAAAGTTACACTGATCAGGTTTTTTTTTTTTTATTCATGCTTTGGTTTTCTGCAAGGGGTTATAATCGTTGCTGCATTCCATGCAAAAATACTAGCAAACGTCAAACTTTTATTGCATTAGCTCTCTTTTTTAATATGATCTAAAGTTCAAAGCTATTACCTTTTCTCCCCGCTTCCGCCTTCAATACAAAGAATTTTATTATGCTCTCACATGCAAGTCTCCACTTGCTCGTGATATGCCTTTACAAGAATCAATTCTTTTTCCTGTATCTGTATTTCCCCGCCTTGCATTCAAAAAAAAACAACGAAATTTTGGCGTCGGAGAAAAACTAATCAGTTTTACATTGTTCTTTTTAGAGCTCGAACAAAGGGTTCATATTGTATTAAAAGGCAAGAAACAAATCGAAAAAAAGGACAATAGTACTAAATGTTGATAATACAAAATATATTTAGGTCGTTTTGTTTATTCTATATATATTTGTACATACAATATAAATATCTTTTTTTTTTTTAAAAAAAAAAAAAACTGCAATTGTAAATCATAAATCCATTTATATAATGGTCGTTGCCAAATATGGCACCATTCATTCACCAAGATAATAGTTTACGTTGTTTCCACTCTTTTGCCACCTTCTTCCTGCCATTTTCTTTACATCATTTTCTTCCTACTACCCACAACGATTACAAAATTCATTCATATTGTTTGACTTCTAAAAATTCTTAATCAACATTCAATTGGAGGGCTTTTTCGGTTTTGGTCTGTGTGTATCTACCGCGTCAATATCAATTTTATATCTGTCTTCATGACAAGCATATGCTTTAGGTGTTAACTTGATAACCGTATGTAGTGGAATCTTAATATAAGGTAAATCATCTTGAGACAGGTTATGAAAATATGCGTAAATACAACGTAAAACAGCCTGATGACCAATTATCAAGATATTTTGCTGCCTCTCAAGTTCCATTATCACTGGTTCTAAACGATAGACTACATCACGATAAGACTGTAATTTTAAAGTACATGAAGCTTTCAGATAAATGTTTTCATTCATTTCTTATCCGTTAGACTAAAATTATAATTACCTCGCCGCCACGATACCGATAATTGAATTTGTCTTCATCTCGATTATTATAATCTTCTGGGTATTTTTCCTAAGAGACATTGAATTAACACGATTTATTTAGCAATTGGTTTATAGCAATTGGTTTAGCTCATATATTCTCATATATTCTCATATATTCAGCGTTGTCAATGGAAGGCGCCAGAAGTTACTATAAATTACCGTAAATCATTGGATGTCAAAATTAACAGTATTACTAGTATCACTGGAACTTTACTATGAAAAATTCCAAGGTAAAGAGGGAAAGAGGGAAAGGCCACTGGATACAAAAATTGACAACACTGCATATACTAATGCAATAGTATCCTACACTACGACATTAATAATTATATCCTAGCATAGGGCTAGCAAGTACATCATTTCTGCAAATATAATACAAACCTCAATCTCTTCATATGTCATTCCATCACAAACACCCGCGTCCAGTTCTTCTAATGCCTTCCAGTGTAATTTTGGATACTGTAAGTGTTTGGCCGTTTCTATTGTACGTTGTAATGTTGACGTCCATACCTTGGATGAATTTCATTGTGAAAGGTTAATTAATTGTTACGGTTTTTTAAAACATTAACTTTACATACTGTCAAGGGCTGATCTCCTAAATTTGCTTTAATAAGTTCAGGAAGTGCTAATGCATATTTTCTACCTCGTGGCGATAATTTTGAATCGCCTCCAATTTTTCCCTCTAAATTATATACGCTTTCACCGTGCTAATATCATTATTTAATATTGATTAGATTTCTGTTTCCTTTGTGTAAACTAATTATAAAATATTTACATTCAAGATATATCAACTTACCCTACAAAAGAAAATACTTCTGGGCAAAATATGCAAGTTCATCAAATAATATACTATTCGACTTTGCAAATATCCTTGAATCATATTAATCATAAATTGACTTCCAACATTTATAAGTTTGATAAATGTGTAATCACTTTCACTACTTGACGTTTCATCTACCGTTTCATAGATTTCTTCGTAATGTGATATTCTAGCTCGAAAATCCTGTGCTGCTTGTTCTGGATCCATATCTTTATAATCTGGTGATGATAATTTTACATCCATAATATTCTGCATAATTAAACTCTCGTCTCGGCAAATAGATTCAATAAACATAACTTGAACATCATATTTCTTGCAATAGTTAATTATCATACTACGTCTTTCTCGTGTGGAATTTGTAGCATCGAATATAGCTACTGTACCATCTTCCTCCAAGAACCATTTTATCATATCTGCAGTCTTCGTCAACAACACTCTGTTACTAGGAATTGAAGTTTACTAGGACTTTAGGCTTCAACTCT